AAAAGCCTACAGATAGAAAACTCACTAAATCCTAAACGTGACTAAACTAAAAAGATTTAGAAATTTAATCAGGAGAGTCTCGGTAGCTTTAATGCCCTCGTAGACGACTGAACATCTGAAACGCTTTGTTTACGCAGTACAGCTCCCAAGTTTTGGAATCCTTTTTTGTAGAATATACCACCGCTATGACTGCCGGCAAAGAAATGAACATAATCCATGTTTGAGGGGACCTCCCAACGAGAAATCAATTGGCCTTCATGTTCAACAGCCATTGTCATATGGTACTCACCCTAAAATTGGTAGTCTCTACGCTGTTATTTGACCACGTTTATAAAAAATCTTTTGATTCTGTTATGATAAACCTGAACTGGACAAATGTTGTGAACTTCATATTTGGTCAATAAATTTTTAGCCTCCTTTGTTTGATTTTCACATGGAATCAAAGTCTAAACACTTACCGAAAGAAGATCATGGGCACAGATATAACCGAAGAAACAAGGTTCATCAGGAAGTTTAACGGTATTATTTTGTTCAGATTTGGAGATCAGTTGTTCAATGGAATATTTTCCTGGTTCACTTAAAGCCTTGCAAACCTTATCACCAACAAATTCACAGAAGTTTTGGGTGCTGCAAAATCAGTAGTAAAGTTGTCGATAATCGCTGTACTGTAAAAGTTAACCAGGAAACTTCATAATGGTTTTTTAAGATATACATTGCGACAGGAAAAGTGCGTAATTTCAGCATTAGAATTAGCAATTTCTAACTAGCAAAAACAAAAATTTATAATTAGTTCAAAAGTATCTCATTTGTTTTCTAAATTTCGACAGTTACCATATATCCCTAGGCAAGAACCATTGGCTGCTGTCACCGTTCCTGCAGTATTCAGAACCAGATTTGCTGACAACAGTAAGTTTGACTGAAGCTGATTTAACAAGATCAAATGGTTTTGAAACAATAAGATAGCCTAAAAGAATTAACTGTATTTACAAAAAATAGTAAATTAAAAGTAGATGATTGTAGTTTTCAGAATTTGTTTACATCATCTTGCTTGCATCAGAAGCTGTAGCTAAACGTAAATTATCGTCTCTAGACTAACTGATGAGTCAACAAAAAAATTCCAAACTAGAGACCGTTTGAAAGTTTGAGATAACCCGGAAGAACAAAATTTGGTTCGCCATTGTAGCAACTGGGTTTCATGTGGCTGTCAAAAACGGATATATCGAGACCACTTAGCATAATTGGTAGTTCTTCTAAATAAAATAGATAAATGATAAATTTTTACACTTAATATAGTTCAGATGAGAAATCTGTAGAAATATCAATTGAATAAGTGCTCTAACTTTAGTTTATCAAAAAGTTCTTTTTAACACTGAAAAATTTTACCTTTACTGCTTGCAACAACAAATTTATTATTTTTTCCATCAACACAACGATCACCCAAGGCTGTAGCAAAAAATCCCAGCAAAACAATCTTGATACAGTTGAATGCCATGATAAGCAGTTATTAAAAATTATAAATTTTGATTAAATAATATCAATAATCCCTAAAACAAATACTGTTTCTGCAAAAAAGTTTTAAAAAAAGCAATTAGATTCATTTACGTTAAGCTTAAGTGCAGAATAGAATACAGTGCTTAGCAAAGGCTAAATAGTGAAATGTAACAGACAAATGATAAAGAATTTTAGCAATTTAACTATAATTTAGTTAGATTATTGCAAAAATTATCAATTTTAGGTTTACAGTGACTGATTTCAAGATTTTTTGAAATAAAGTATTTAAGAATTTACGAATAATTCGTTGTAATTTTGAAAAATGAAATAAACAAACTTGTCGTATTGTTTCACTACAAGCACTATCAGTATAAGAAGTTAAATAGGATAATTAAATCAGTTTTTGGAGATTGCTATTTTTATTCAATTCTTAAACCAATTTTTTTCTCATTATATTTGTTATAAACGTGTATCTATTTTGAAAAACGAACTTTTTTCTTATTTTTTTAATTTGATTGGTTGAGAAAGATCTTTAGCTTTTAGAATGTATTAAAGCCAAAGAATGTCAACCTTTTTCCTGGATTAAATTAGTTATAGTAAAGTCGTACAGAAAAGCTCTACTGTAAGTAACTAACAACTAGTATTTCAGACAGGTTGCTGTCAACAAAATGATTGCTTAAAAGTACCAGGAACCAATAAAAAAAAGTTGAGCTAGCGTAGTCCACCGGTTCTATGTAACAGAATTTCGAACGCACTTCTTGACGACCAAAATAAGTCATCATCGCATATGAGCAGTGCGACACAGTAAAAATAGAAGATTTTTAGCGGAAGGATAAAACCTCAAATTTTTTTGACAGCGTTGCAAACACTGATGGTGAGACAAAGCTTGTCGTTGGTTATTTATATCAAGAGTTTTTGGACCTGTTTACCCGTTATGGCGACGGATTAACGGCATAATCAAAATAACGTATTCTGCAAGTTTGTTATATTAAACTTTCTCAGCACTTCTAAATTATCATAAATAAGTTGTTTACTGCATACCGAAATCATTTTGTTATTGTACAGAACAAAATGACTTTTTGAAAACGAAACAACGGTGCTAGGTTTGATTTTCAGTGCTCCTCTGCAACCCATTATTCTGCTAGATAGACGACGTATCCGCCGTGCAGCTGGTAATGTTATTATTTGGCCAAGGATTCACTGCGGTAAACTGTACCAAAAATCTACTGCTAAAATACGATTATGCTGTTGTTTTGCAACCGAATTATTATAAAATAATTATTTCGAACTGGTAAGCTTAGCAAAAAAAAATATTCTGAAATATTGGTTTTTGCGGCTTTTCACTTGTTCAACTACTCACTTCAAAACTGCTATTATTGCTGCTTAGTTTGTTATTTAGGCAAAAACTGTCGAAAAACAAAGTGTTCTCTCTTAAACATTAATAAAAACAAATTCAAAAGATAGAGCTCAGCTGAAACTTCAGGTAACTATTGAAAATTGGTTTTTTTAGCGGTGGAAAACGCCGCTAAAGATTTTTCTTGAGTAAAATATCAAAAATAATGTAAGTCTGTTTACTGACTGAACCAGTGATACCAGACTTTTCCAACAATAAATTCAGTATTAACTTTGTCCTGCATTTGAATGTCTTTTAAAAAAAAAAAACGCAAATCAACAATTGACTCAACTGGAAAACCTGAACGAAGTTTTACGTTAAACATTTTTTCTGGCAATTTTTTGTATTTTCAGGTGACAACTATTTTTAGAATCATGGATTTGCGTCCAGTAAAATATCGTTTGCTCACGCAAAGAGGACAGCGAATAATGAGGTTCCTGTTGCCCTTAATATTACAACAATAATGAAGCGTTAGTCAGTGTTTTCATTTTCACATTCAATTAGTTGTTTTCACAATATATAATACAGCATTGTTGAAAGAATATATAAAATTCTTTTTAGCAGTTTAGTTGTACGAAAAAGGGGAAATCCTACTGCAAAGAACCCTTTCAGTTCAAGTAGAAATAAAGTTTTACTGCAACAGAAGGTAAATTTAAATTATAGCAAACTGAAAGCGTACGAAACGGTTCACCAACATATGGATGAAGTAAGACAGTGATACAAAGCAGCTCATGCTGCTATAGTGACCTAAAGTAGCCACGGTACAGTGTTCAGTAGAAAAACCCATCGTCATTAGTTGATTAGTAGCAAATCTGCTGAAACATTTGCTTCCTTAACGTTGGTCGTTGGCAGAAGAGATTGACCACAAACTTCATAGCCACGCAACAAATTTGCAACTAATTTCCGTATAAATACCTCCAGACTGGTGCTCTGATTACCTGTTACGCTCCGTCTGTTTGCCAAAAGCGACTGAACAAATTGTAAACAACACAGTGTTTAAGCTGAATACTACAGCATAAAAGTGGTATAGATTCGCTCATGTCCACCAGCATGTTTGACCAGGCTTGTACTTCAGCATTTTCAACGGAACAGCAACTGCCCAACACAGTCTCATGAGCCGCACTCAAACCTACACTTCTATTTGCATACCGTTACTATTTCCTCCCCAAAATCCCACTTCACAACCATATTTTTCAAGCCGAACTTGCTTTCTAAAACGAAAGAACTTCAGTGACATAGCTGTGTATTCAACTGGACGCATGTTACCGTCAAGATCGCTGAATCCCTATCCAATACCCCGTAGCAACAACGCACCCCGTTTTCCAAATGAGCCCAAACCTTAGCCAACAGCCCACTAATCTCATCACTCCCCTGGTTGTTTAAGAAGATACGATACATTGAACTTTATTCTAGAACGCTTTACAAGTGTGAAAAATTTATGAATTCGCAAAAACAACATAAACACGCACAACACCCTTCACCAGTATATCAGTCATTTAAGTAAGTTAACAAACAACAACAGACCCGTTAATTTACTTCTTCTTGGCAGTTGCTCCAGCTTTCTGCGCTGCCTTCGTAACCTTACCGGTAGAATCACTCTTATCGACTGCTTTGATCACGCCAACAGCAACTGTTTGCCTCATGTCCCGTACAGCAAAACGTCCAAGTGGCGCATATTCCGTAAATGTTTCAACACACATTGGCTTTGTCGGTATTAATTCAATGATACCAGCGTCACCAGATTTCAAGAACTAAAGCATCCAATGAAAACGGTCCAAGAATTTCTTTGAAAAAAACTTAAGAGATATGTATCAGTCATTCAGGTAAGTTTACAAACAACAACAGAAGCATGAATCGCAGATGTACCTTTGGATTGTCCTCAACTTTCTTGCCTGAACGTCTATCAACTTTCTCTTTCAATTCAGCGAATTTACAAGCAATATGGGCTGTATGGCAATCCAAAACGGGAGTGTAACCTGCAGAGATCTGACCAGGATGATTCATTATAATGACCTAAAAAGCGTTTTTAGAATCATTTGAAGTAAAACTATTCAAATAAATTGAAAAAACAACGGTTTTTACCTGAGCCGTAAAACTTTTTGTTTCTTTCGCTGGATCGTTCTTCGAATCGGAGCACACAGACCCACGACGGATATCTTTAACTGAAACATTTTTTACATTGAATCCGACATTGTCACCAGGCAGTGCCTCTTGTAAAGCCTCGTGATGCATTTCTACTGACTTGACTTCAGTTGTCAAGTTTTGTGGTGCAAAGGTCACTACCATGCCAGGTTTTAAAATACCCGTTTCCACACGGCCAACAGGAACTGTTCCAATACCTAAATTTAAACCTCCTTTGATGATACAACTACTAAAGATGCGGGTAAGAAAACACTGAACAGCAGTATAACCTCCAATCTTGTAAACGTCTTGGAGGGGAAGACGAAGTGGTCGGTCAGTTGGACGTGACGGAGGCACTATTGAGTCGAGAGCTTCCAGCAGAGTTTTGCCAGACATATTGCCCTCCTTTCGCTCAACTGTCCAGCCTTTGAACCACGGCATATTAGAGGAAGGTTCTAGCATGTTGTCACCATTGAATCCAGATATGGGAACAAAAGGAACAGCTTTTGGGTTGTAACCAATCTTTTTGATATAGTTAGAAACTTCCGTCACAACCTTGAATATGCAACATTAGGAAATAGATGACTGAAATAACCCTTCATCGTTTTCAAATAACAGCATTGCAAAGGACCTCATTGAAACGTGACTCAGAATACGGTGGTTCAGTGGAATCCATTTTATTACAAGCTACGATCATCTGCTTCACCCCAAGTGTCTGAGCAAGTAGAGCATGTTCGCGAGTTTGTCCATTCTTCGAGATACCAGCTTCGAACTCACCAGTACCACACGCAACAACCAATACGGCGCAGTCAGCCTGCGAAGTACCTAAATGAGGCAAGAGTAAAATTACTACTTGAAGACAATCAGCAAGACAAAGGCTAGCAAGGTTTACCAGTAATCATGTTTTTAATAAAATCACGATGGCCAGGAGCATCAATAATTGTTACGTAGTACTTCGCAGTTTCGAATTTCCATAATGCAATGTCAATCGTAATACCACGTTCACGTTCCGCTTTTAGTTTGTCCAGTACCCAAGCGTACTTGAACGAACCCTGAACATATTTTTACTTATATCATTACAGTAACATAAATTACACAGCTATAAATAAAAGAGCAAGCGTTAATCCTAGTGTTAAAAGGTCTACCAACCTTCCCCATCTCTTGAGCTTCCTTTTCAAACTTCTCAATTGTTCTTTTATCGATGCCACCACATTTGTATATTAAATGTCCGGTAGTAGTTGATTTTCCGGAGTCGACGTGACCAATTACAACAATGTTGATATGTGTCTTCTCCTTACCCATCGTAAATTAACAAAACTGCAAGCAATCAACTTTTATGGCACAAATAACCGTTCAGATGCCTATTGACAATCTGCTGAAAGAAAGGGCAAAGAAGCTACAAACTGCTTCCGAAACATGGGTCTGTGAATTTTAGTAACAGTAAAAATATGAAACTTGTTATCTCGCACTTTAAACAGGCTTTGGTAAAAGCATCCCAGACTACCAGTCCAGAGATGGCCAGCAAACTTGAGCCACATTTCGCAAATAACTTGCCTGAATCTAAGTAATCTCCAGCTTGTTCTTAGCACTCAAGCCCACCTAACTGCCTGTAGCAAATTGCTACCCAACTTTACTCAGTCACAGTACATTGACGAAATTCAACTCATGTTTGTCTAAAAACGACTGCAAAGCACAACAGCTACCGAAAGAATAAACCTGATCTTTTTCAAGGAGTTTCATTGTAATCAAATTGATTCCCTTGAATATTCTTTCTTCAAGTGAAAGCTCAAGAAAAAAATCTAGTCCCTTTCACTGCGAACGCTGTATTCAAATAAATCAAATTGAAACAGATTTTTCTGATCCAAGACAATGATATTCTTTTGATAACATAGTACGATAAAGTTTTAATACAAAAAAAAAAATATAAGTAATAATTTAATAGTTTTATACAAAAAAATTTCCTTAATAACATAAATAACGATGATGAGCAGCAAGAAATACCTTCGTTCAAGAAAAACAACGTAAACAGTAGATGAAGATGACCGACGAATTAATTGAACCAATATAACTCACACAACGACAGGCGCGCAAAACCTAACAATGACTGGCGACCAGACAAATATCGGTATTTATGCTCGAAAAGGAACAAACTTTTGCAACAGACACAGCACCAACATCAAGTAACATCACCAACATCGACACCCAGTACCGGCATCACAGCAGCATCGATTTTAGTATAAGTAGCGTCCAATCAACAATATCAACAGTCCTAATCTTTTGATGTCTATAAATACATTGTGCATACCTACCAAACGAACCCGTCTATGCGATACATATCGATATAATTGGCACTGGGCATTTACAGCAACAATTCGTTGTTTTAGGGAGGAAATTTTATCCCTGTAGACTACAGAGAGCAAATACAAATTATGAGGTGACCCCTAAGTAGACGACGATTGATTGTAGTGCCTATATCCAAACATCTATACGCATATATACAACGAAAATATATAAATCTATATTATCTAGG